TCCCTCAAAACTATAAAAATAATACTGATGATGGTCGCACCATGGCTGATGCACAGGACTAAAAGGAACGGTATTGCTTTATCTGGGGTTCCAGACAGGTCTTTTGTTGTCACGAGTATCAAGGACGTAGTCAAGACAGGAATCTCCAAATTAGAAGAACAGAACAGAAACACACAAAGAGAAGTATCATGTGAATCGGTGAGAATCCAGAAAATCGGACCACAGCGATTTCGAATCTGAGACTTGACTGAGGAATTAATCAGGCGAGATATATCGAATACTCTTCAGGAACTATATGAATACAAATAAATCTGAATTCAATAGCCACCCAAACGCGCAATGTCGATGGTCTTTTCATGTGGTGACGAAATGTTTGCAAGCTGATTGCCAAGCTCGGGGAACAAGTGAACCACTATGTAACCAACGGTCAATAATTTGCAATAATTTGAAAGCCTCGTGCCTGACATCTACAACCCACTTCGGCTCGGCAGGGTTGTTGGTGATGAAGCATCACAGAGTACGCCTTACTCAACGGAGTTGCAGCACTGGGTTCACAGAAAATACATCTGACACGATGACCCACTTTCACCTGGGATTTTCCGACTTCGTGTGATAAATACTCAAATACTCGAAAAATGAACTTCGTGCCGCATCTATGTGACGCCGAGTGCACACAGATTAGAGTTAGTTCTGCGTCGTGTCAACCCCCCCCCCGGAGGTTCGTTTCATTCGTTTTGAGTCCGATGAAAAACAAGCGTTAGCTTCAAGACGAATTCACAAACCAACAGCGAAAGCGTGAAAATGATGGAAAATTCAAATAGTAATGCCGGTGTTTTTAATTCCACTGCAGACGGATGCAACGCCAGTTCAAACTGAACTGTTTGATGATTTTTAACAAGTGGTAAAGATCCGAGAAAGTATATCTAGCTTTGATATGTAAAACCTAAATCCATGGTGTCGTAAGTGTCAAAAAGTACCATTCTTTTTTAACTATGTCCAATCCGACTCGGTTTTGTTCTAAGGATGCCAAGTTCTGGTTGCTGAGAGGGACGTTGTTTTTCGTGTCCAAGTTGCACCGACGGAAACCTAGAGGTGGTTAAAATACGACTTGGCAAAATAGAATCAAGGATGGCACGGAAAGTTTAAGTGCTTTTCGCAGCAGACGGTATTTCACTGAGAAATGACTGCAAGCTAAGATGGTGGGGTCATGTGTTACACATGTCGAGCTACCGCCTGCTGAGAACTGTTATTTACGGCGCTTAATTCAGAATGGCACAAACCTGGAGGTGGGCAGAATATGACATAGCAAAAGGGGATGAAAAGTTGCAAAACGTTTTTGTGCCATTGGTACAGTTCGCCTTCTAGGATGGAGTCCGTGTGAGCCTCCCTGTGCCCGATTGGAGAGATTGAACGATATGGTGTTAATTGATGTCAGTGGTGTTTATGCTGTCAGTGTCCATCTAGATTGTTTGACTGAGTGCTGTAAGTGTAGGCGCTTCGGATGTTCGTTATAAGCCAACCCTAGGAGCTCTCTTTGCCCCATTTTTGCACATTTCCTTACAAGGTCTTATTCAAATGGATAAACCTGGTTGAACAGCAATGAAACACCAGTGTTCTTTGTTGGTATATCTATTGAAGGTTATAGTGTCCAACCATACGCAGTTACGGAATCCAGCAAAACTGTTGACGCAACTAGCTAGTTAACTGCGAAGGACACGACTAGGGTAGTTGGTCGCAGTGTCAACGTGGACGGGAGCAGAAACCATTTAACGTGAGTAAATCGAGCATACAGAGCGGTGATCAAACACCTACGGAAAGAAGATGAACTGTTGTACGAATGGCATTGATAAAGTTGACACACTGAAACCATAGGAAGATGCTAGTTTTACATCCATAGGGTAAACCATTATGATAATTAATTGTACCTGGATACTTTATGATGAGCTACAAAACTAACGATTTTAATTGCAAAAAAGAACACTATTAGGAGTGCAACGAAAAACAAACTGATCTCTACCTGTTTTTTATTGTTTAAGGGTAGGCAACGTACAAGCTGATGGCTGGGTACTTACGGTTCATCATAAAGTCCTGCAGCTGGTTCGGTAGCTGCGACCGGGATGTGCCATGGGAAGACACGATGGAGTTCGCATGGTAACGCGGGGTAGAATTATGCTGGTGTGAATGTAGGTTGACATAGGTCGAGTGATGGGATATATGCTGATTTGCCATTCCTGTACCAGGAGGCAAGTGGGCTAATGCATCTCTGTGGTGGTGAGGATGCGCAAAGTAATGAGATGCACCGTGGGTAGTAGGGTAGTGAACCCCAGGACGATGATGATAAGAAGCAGATTCTTTGACAGATGCACAGTGTGTAGGTGTTTGGGTGTCAGAACCCAGCCGGTTGCCTCTAGGGTGTCCTGCAACGGGCGCTGTGGTTAGCGCGCTGGTTTGAACATTGGACACCAGTGACGAAGATCCCAAATCATTGGGCGTTGAGGGAGGGTCCTCAGAGGCAGCACAAGAATTTATTCGGCCTGGGCTGCCGCGCCCGGACTTCGCAAACATAGGAAGCCCATCCGAGATTCCACCGGTGGATTTAAGCATGCTAGAATGAAACAAACGATACTAGCGGTATAATCACTGAACGGATATTCATGGCAAGGCGGGAATATGCAACAACTCCTGCTTAGGGTTGGGAAAGCTGGCAGTATCCCAGCTGTCATGCTACCTGCTGGTGGTATAGCGGCTAGGTACTGAAAGGGAGCTACAGCTGATTTATTTATAAAGACGAATAAAAGCCAGTGGGTCGTTGAAAAAATTGAATGAGAGTGGCTGCGTTATACCACCCTGTTGAGTAGAAGCTCTGACGTCATGAGATGCATCTCAGATAACAAGCATCAGCAGAGTAGTACTGCCAAGCGTGGTGTCACCAGTCAGGTTACCTTGCTTTCCCTTTCACACACTTTTTCTTCCCCCTCCGCCATTAATAAGACTCTTCTTGTAGGAGTGTTAGGACAGGCGAGCCGTTCCTCTTACATCGGTTTTTGCCGCGACATCTGCGCGTCAGCGGACGCCGGCAGCCTCAGGCATTCCGAAATCAGTTTCAAGGCTTCGATGGCCAGTCCATCCGGCTACTTTTAATGTTTGAACTTTTGAGCAAGCGGGAGGACATGCTTCTCTTGCTCTCACACTGATGGTACCAATCACCCTACGTCGACTTTGTGGTTCACTATTAGGTGCTCCTAATATATGATACCGATGTTCCACTCATCATGTGTCAGGAATATCCATAACAGTGAAATAAAACTGTTTTAGTAAGTTCAAATCTGTGACCCACGATACCCGTGATTAGGGTGGTGCGCTAAGCCAATTATCCACCTATTATTCCCATCCCTTCACTATCATTACTGTAATCATCCTGAGCATCGGCGGCATCACTCATAGCAACAAAGGTGTTGGCTGCCGACGCTTCATTGCTAAAAAGGACACCAATTTATCTAAGGGCTTAGTATGCGAAGGCAAACCGAGACAGGTAAGATACGTGATTGTTTATCCCGTAAGGGCGTCTGATGTGTTTGCACCAACCACACTACCACACAGCCACGAAAAGACTGGCAGCACGAGCGTCACTCATTTTAACGTTTCGACGTGCCTTGCAGCGCCTCTGGTCAGGTAAAGAGGGTCACGTGGAAACCGTCGTGGAGGGCACTACAACCAAGTCTAACAGACCTTTCATAATCAATTTAGTACCCTCCTCCAAGTCATGCCTTCTGAATCAAAACATGGTAAGTACTGCATCTAAAAAGGTTTCTCGACAGACGGCAACCTAGTATGCGTGGCAAACAATCCATTGAAGTCCGTGGTACTGGTGCCACATGAATGCGTCGAAGTCTAACTGCCAGAGTAAGTAAAGACCAGGCGGGAGCTGACTGATCAACCGTCACCAGCATATCTGGATCCAACCCGAGGGACAGTAGACTTTCTAAGACCAGCGATCTCCCGGTAGACTTTGCGATCGATGCCACTACAACCTCTTGGTTCACAAGTGGTCTGTCAGAACTGCCCCCCTCAGCGCAAGTGGAAGTTCCGGGACTAAGAATGCTTTCTAAGGTTACCACAAATCTTTGCAATTGAAGATCACCTTCTGGCATATGTGTGGGTAAAGTAGCTATTAAACCCCAACGCTGATTATCCAAAGCCTCTAGTAAATCTTTCTGCGTGCGGATTCGAGCCAACGGGCTATAAATTTGGAGGGCAGGGAGCTCTTCCAGACTCGTTACGTCGAATCGACTAAACCGGCCGGATTGTGGAGTACGCTGGTGAGTCTGGTGAGGGGAAAGATGGAGTTGTGGACGTTGAAAGTGATTGATAAGACTAAAGTATGCCTGAACAAGATCACGCAGACATGATACAGTACGACCGGATCCTCGCTCTTCGGGAGTTTCAGGAGGATGACCTGTATCCTTGATCATTTCTTCAGACGAATTGTCTACATGAACCCGAACAGAATCGACGGTCTCTGAGGGGAGGTTGACTTCATCACCTTTAGAACTCGTCTGAAACGTAAACCAAAACAAGAGGGCTAATCTCACTAAGGTCCGTTAAATGGTGATATTCAGGCTGATAAGGACAAGGATAAGTAAAGGGTTCCCAGCAGAAATAGCATACTCACATCAACTACTCTTTCGTCCGACAGGAAAACCATGGAATGTGAACACGGTAGATGGGTGGGGATACTCAAAAAAGACAAAACAGCTTGTGGCGTTTCTTTGGGTTGCTCGCAAGTTTACGCGACGAAACAAGCACTAAAAATGGTTGGAAACGTCAGAACATGAATATATTAATCATTATTGGTTTGGCTCGGTCATAAACTACCGACCTACTGAAGAGTGTTTTCCGTATCGAAATCAACGTCGCGGGTAGTCCACACCATGGCAGACAGAGTTAAGGCAAAGAAAAAATGTCTGTAAGTTGTTTATTTAATGTACCCTCTAAGACTGAGCTCACACGACATTAGGTACTTGTCTGAAGACAAAAAGATACGGCTGTGATTCGATGACACTGGTAATTAGGTCACCCATTTCTATCCAGCTTGTCTGGATGAGTGCCTGAGGGTGCATGCACATCAGATAGATAAGAGTGCGGTAGCATTGGGACTGTCATAAGACAGTGAGACATTCATATTCAACCTTGGTGTTGACGTCAATCGCTCAGTGGAAGACCATCACGGTGCCTAGCTGCCATGCCACCCGAAGGAAGCAAGAGACCTGAGATATTGCCAGGTCGCCCATGCCAAGACAGGAGAAGTCAAGAGGTAGAGGTCGGGTTCGAATCACGGACATTGCAGTCAGTAAATTCGCGCTCCAACCGCTGAGCCATCTCACCCCTCATTGTTGATCTCAATGACTAGGATTGCAATAGTGATCTCCACTGTCAGGTGAGCGGCCAATAACAAAACCAATTATCTGTTCTACCGACGATTCGACCACAGTCGATACCGTTCGAACCCGTCAGGTTTAAAAATCTAAAGGCATACTAGCTTCGTGTTATACTTACATGTTCTCAATGGAAAAATGTTGCACGGTGCCTTTAAGATTTGGTGTCCCGGTTTTGTACGATGGAAAGTTTTAACTACATCTTAAAAATATCCACACTACTTATAAACAACGAACAATTGACCTTTGAAAATCATATGCATTTCATTGAGCCTTTAATTTGTGCTGTTTGTACACAGCCGATTGCATAAACAAATAACTAGTGTACACAGTTCCAATCTTTGTTAGACAGCATTCCCAAAATTGTTGAATCCCAGCTTTCGTCATCTCACACGGGAAGCGTTGAAAGTAGCCCAAGATAAGATGATAAGGATTCAAACACACACTATCCGTAAGAACTTTAAGAACGCTGCAACCTTAATGGGTAGATGATGTACCCACAATAATGCGGGGAAAACATCTGAAGTCACGCAATTGATGAGTTTTTTGCCATTCACCGCGAGGCTGCTTCATCCGAGTAGAAGTGCAGTGTTCCTTCTCATCAACACATATTTGTAAGTTGGGCAAAGCATACAATGATTCCATACGCGTTTCACAAATACTAATGCGTTATTCTCACATAAATGACTGTGTTAAATTTCCCATCAGCAACCGAGAAGGATCCGGATTGACAAACTAGTGTAGATGGATCTGAGAGATAAGGGATCAGCCACCATTGACCTATACGGGAACAGTGCCACATATAATTTGTGTCAAAATTAAAAGTGAACTGAGTGAACCGACTGGTAGAAATTAAAGGGAACGCGTCCGAAAAAAATCAGAGGTCAGAGAAAACCAAACACAGGGCGAATCGCACAGTGAAGAGGTGAACATACCCTGAGAGCTGAATATCTTTTGCTATGATAGTGGTCTGAAAACAGAGCTATTGGAGTTGGATAGGGCGAAGTTGACTCACTCGTATACGAGGATCTGTGGCTTCCCACAAGAGCTTCGATTGTACACCGCCGCTCGGTTGGCGAATTTCGGGGGAAGTTTTGTGTCGTATTCGGTTGTTGAACACGACGTGAACACACACGTGAATAATTGAGAGTAAGAGCAACAAAAGGATAGGACCCAAGCATACTCGATGGAGTGTTTACGGACTGCCCCTCCACTCAGAAAGTGGGATCCAAGCGCCCAAAAGTAAATGAAATACTCTCCCCATGAGCAACTACTTATTGTCAACTAGTAGCGCGATTGCTGTGGAGAATTCTCGAGGTGGATATACTGTCATTGAACGGATTGTAATGGAAGCGGGATTCTACCAATGCATCACAATCGTCGAACACAAAAGCGATCGATAGTTTCTAGATGCTGACGAAAAACCCAACCCATATCTGCTGAAGCACTGATTCGTGACAATAACGATGCCGGAAGTGGTGATAATGATAGTGTGGACGGAAAATAGTAGAAATGAGTTGGCAGAAAACTGATAGGTCTCCAGTTTGCCGGTCGAGTAGACTGCAGGATAACACAACTGATGTTCTTAAAACATGAGCCTTCAAATTTACTGAAATGCCGTCCTAAAGATATGCGATCTGAAACCCCTGAATGTTCAGCATTGACTCCTATAGGCGCTGCCGTCAGGATTAAAGCTGCAGTTAGCTCGGAAAGAAGGTACTAAAGGTTTGATTTAGTATAGTCCTCGTCCGAATGGAACGTAGATAGGCAAACACGGTGATGCCAAAGAGGATAAAATTCACGAAAGTGAGTTGCAGAAACACTCGAACTTGCAGTGATTTCTTGCACGTGCATGGCGTACGGCGGAATATTTCCAGCGTAATGTGATGACTCACTGATAAAAATCAAAATATTGATAACAATAAGGCCATTCAGAAGTGGTCAAACCGTCCTCCTCACCAAAATTATTCGGAAGTTCCATCAAAAGGGCCCGAGCCTCTTCAAGTACTTAAGATCATAAATAGGCAAACTCTTCGGACAAAATTTTGGAATACCGAACAGTGACTTTAGGAGGTGTCAGATCTTTCCCATCAAACCAAAACTTCCTCAGGGGCAAACGAAGTTCATCGCCTGTTCTAGGATGCATGATCTAATGCGCACAAACGCAACCTAAACTATCGACGAACTTAGCCAATTTATTTAGAAACACTTGCACCTCTCCGTTTGGAAAGGACACGAACTATAGCTGCGTATTTCGAAACAAGGTCAAGAACAACCCACAGAATCTCGCTGATCCGGCGTCAACAACAAGGATAATCAGGAATAGGAATACGATGGGTAACTTTGACGTACAACTTTTGTTAGTAGTTGAACGTAGCAATACGAGTGCACGAAACAAAGCGGTCGTTCGTTTTAGGCACCTCATGTGAACATCACTTCAAGTATTTGAACTTGTTTTGATAAAGTTCTTATCGCAGGGACGTTTCAGCTAAGTAGGCAGTTCTATACTCATTTTCTAAAACTACGGTAAGTCGAAAAATCATCAGGTCACCATTTTTTGATATTACAGTTACATTTATGTGTGAACAAATCAGTATTCCTAACAGAAGAAGAATAGAAGAGTATCAATCCAAAAGAACGGAAGGCTGGACAGCTAAAAAAAGGTGAAAGAAGGGTTGTTCGGAAATCGAGGTCAGTAAGCGAAGCCCGTCTGTGCTGTTCAGGTGTGAACTGTTCTGATGAATACTAGGGTGGGGCGTGTCCAAGGCCTAACCAAGTCCAGTCAAGTGAAGAAAGTTTACGACTTAATAAGTTAAGTTATTAATGCCCAGTCAGTTAGTTAGGTAACTAGGTAAATGTTCAGACGTGGTGCATAAATCTCGCTTGGAGTTGCAAATAGCTGCACTACTCTGTGTGAAGAAAACATGTGGTGGTGATTGGGAGGAACACTTTTCAGATGGAAACACTTGCCATGTACATTGGTGCGAAGGTAAACTAACCGTTCAAAGGTGGATGTGAAGCCCAGCAAACGATGCTACACATTTTAATTTAGCCTTCTTTGAACGGTTGAAGATGTGGTGATCATATCTTTCTGGAAGCCGGTGGTCATATAAACATATGAAAATGAAGCAAAAATATATGAGCAGAGTGCTTTCTCGGTAGATAAATGGATAAAGGAGCACTTCCCATTACACTACCTGACAGCAAACAACCGATACCATAACTAATTAGTGGACCTTTCGAAGCCAGATTTTCACGCTATTGCCTACAAATTAGCGTTCACATGCTACGTGGTCACGTTCTCCACTACATCTTCTGCTATATCTGCTGATTCGCCAATCTGTGGTATCTGCTGTAGACTCGCTCCAGTGCCCAGTCCCTAGAAGAAGACTCACAGAAGGGAACACAAATTCCGAACGAGCGAATACGAGAGCAAAAGTTACAACGGCCCACGTTCTCTAAAGGGGACTTTCTGACGTTGATCCAGGCTGCCTGATAGGCGTTAGTGAACACCCATCAACATCGACCGTGCCTCCATGAGATGCCTGAACGCAGATCACATTTGGTCGTGCTTCTGTGACGTGCATGAACACTCATCAGCTTTTGCTGAATCGATTGAATAATTTATTGACCTGGATGCTTGCCGGCTTTTCTGTTGAGATTTTGGTTGAGCAGTAGGTTCCGGGCGTTCTGAGGTTACTTTCGGGAATCTGACCTTTCTGATAATTTCCCACAGTGAGTTGATCACTGCGCGATAAACCTCTAACAATATTGACGTAGGTGGATAAGAGAGTTGTGCAGAGCTAAAACTAACAACGGTGCGGAAACACAAAAAACCGTCCATTTATTTCCACGGTCTGATGTGCAGTTTAAATCGCGATGACTTCAACTCATTTCCAAGAAAACCAACAAGGATGTGGGCAGTTTCATTCTGAGTGGATGGCTTCCCTCCGGTGACGACTGCACATTAAATTGTGACAACAAGAGACACTTCTATTCTCCAAGTGACCTCTCTTAGGATTGGGGGGTATTTTACGTTGAAATTCTACGGTAGACTTCATTAGCCTATTGTCTGTCAAATTTGTTCAGAACTGTCATACTACGTACGACAAAGAAATGAGTACGTTGCTATTAAAAGTAAAGGCATACAGTGAGCTAAAGGGCTAGAGTAGCCCGTAGATCCAACGTACAGTGCTAGGTGGCACAGTTGCACACTGCTTCCATGATTGTGTCCAAACAAAACTTTGTGGTAAACCCATTTGGAGAGCACGTTTGCACATAGACTAACCCATCGTCATCAGCCCGACAATAAACGACGTTCAATAGGCGTTAAGAGCAGAATAACTGATGTAGAAGCCTAATTTATTCACTTAAACAAAAAAACGTTTCTCGCATTGGTATCAGCAAATTGATGAAGGCCTAAGTACTCCATTCTCCATACATACTGTCTAGTGTCAAGCAGAGCTATGCTCTGTCTTTTCAACAAAAAGGCGGTTATAAGGTAGGAGAGGCTCTCCAGAACATTTTATCTTGGTATACTATTGTATATGCGTAATGCGTAACCGTCCAGGTCAATCTTTAGAATAAAAGGGGGAATGACCACATTTACCACGAGCTGTCTATCCGAAGTCAATGTAAACTACACTATTGTATTCCTGAAGTGAACAAATACATCAGCGAAGGCGCCCATTAATCATGCATTCATACAGTTTAATCAGTTCAGACCGAAGAACGTTTTCTGCCATTGTGCATGAAAGCAAGAAGTGAGTGGACGAGGCTCGCGAAAAAGTACGTGAAGTAGAACATTAATTTCACCCCACAGACAACGGGAATACGCACAGATAGACAGAACTCACTGTGAAGCAGTCGGACGGCTCGAGCACCACCGGGGAACAGCGGGCAGAAAAAAGGGGTGACACAGCCATATCGCACAAATTTGGTTGAGCCTGAACACAAGAGGTGCACAAAGTCACCAGAGGCCGACCCGAGGGAAACGAGGGCTCATCACACTGAACTCCCCGCGTGATTTTCGACTGTGGTGCTGGATCCTCCGGACACGACTCGAACTCCGGAACAGAATAGCACTGTGCCATAGAATCTGGAACGGATTCAGGGAGATCGTCCGCAGGGTCTGAAAAGTTTGGCTTCATCCGTTCAGATTCGGTGCTATCAACAGTTGACTGGAAACCACTAAGTGATTCACCAGCATTGAAACAGTCGGAAGAGGGAGAAGCAGGTTCTCGCTTGAGTGTGTAGGGTAGCAATGTCAATGTAGGTTGTGCTCCAGTTTGTCCCGTCTCTTCGGTGCCACTGTTGTTCGTACTTGTTATGGAATCGCAACTACTTGTCGCGGTGGTGGACGGCTCAGTGGCACGGCGGCGAGTTTTCACACGGGAATACAGATCGTTCGAACTCAAATCAATTTTTCCATCCCGAATGTCATCAAAATACTTAGTTTTTGATGCCACCAACTGGTGTTTGGGGACATACTCAAAACGCCCACTCGTACGGGATTTGGTGTTGTGTTTTCGTTTAAGCACCTGTTGTCCCCTGCTGACGTTCTTCGCTCGCGCCACGCAGACGTTCCCCATCCCCCCTGCCCCTCAGTGAGCTCGGAGTTGAAGGTGGAGTTGGAACAGAAGCTGGAGAGTCAGTCACACTAGACAGGCGGTCTTTGCGTGTTGAAGGCGGCTTTACATCCATACAACGTTCCCTCTGGTGAAATGAACGAATTGCATCGAGCACGTTGGACAAGTTTTTTTCTGGCTCCCAGCTGTCTGCATCCGGTGGGAATCCTTGCCATCGAACCTTGTAGAACTTCTGACCTTTCACGATCTTTTCCCCGATGATATCTTCAACCAAATAGACGGCGTCTGAATCTGAGTTATCCGCGGTTGTCGTATTATCACTAATAACATCTTTTGAGAAGTTGTTCAAGCGAGTTTGATGTGCGTGTTTGTTAGTATTGGTGCTGGAGAAACGGAAGCGGTTGTTTCTTACGGTTAGTCGACGTCGATGACGGCGTCGGGTTATGCTCATCTGTTTGCGCATGGAATTTTCTCCAGCAGAGGCCATTTGCATGCAGAGGCATAACCTGAAAAGAATGGTGATAGGTTAAATGACGAAAGCGTGAGTAGAAAGAGTTTGCAAGATTTTGCTCACCACGACTAATACCCATCTCATCATGAGAGGATAGTCTCAATGGTGGATGACGGATTGCGTGGATACTGTGACTGACTGGTAGTTTTATCACGAACTCGAATACGACAAGTATAATAATAGTGGGAAAAGGATGAACACAACGCATCCGTATGGGTGACACGGGATAACAGTCAATCAACAAGAAAGTGTGACATGAGTCTCAAACATGTATGGCAAGACGAAGGTGGCACGATTACCAAAACTTAAGGGCGACAGTAACCTCCCATCACCAGTGGGAGCGTAAACTCGAACCCACAGATTTATTGATCGGCTGGACTTTTATTACCCGGACTGGTCTCAAAGACAACTCACAAAAGACTGGTTACAAACCACGGGCCTAGATGGCGACCAACCAAAAGTTCCCCCGGGTAGTCTTCGGGAAGATAGTACGAAAAAGAAACAAAAAGAAAAAAGGAAGAGAAATGTGGTTTTCGACAAAACCAAGCCATCGGAATTGCAAACACACCTGAAAGTTGAGGCGAATAATTTGGAGAGCAGCTGACAGTACTGAAGTTATTGACACCGGTTCGCAGCCATACGTTGCAATGCCTCAGGTTCAACTGGATCCCAGACGGGTCGCATAAATGGCACTCAGACTTCAAGCACCGTCACTTCTGCAGGGTCACATATAGTGTCACTTGACATGCACCACCCAGGTGTCAAAAAAGTACACTGTAATAGACTCAGGTGCTACAAATGACTGAGACACCTCAGTATAGGTTTCATCAATATCCCTATAGGTTTCCAAACAAACGTTTTTAGACCGCTCTGTCGTAGGCTTTCCAGAAACTACGGTTTCGCAACAACGGTGAAGATCTGCAACAGTCAGTGAGACTCTGTGGTAACGTAAAATGTCACAGTAGATCGCGTTCTTGATATTCATGCACCGACATAGTTGGCACGAAGAAGTGAAATACTTCACGTGAAGGAGAAACACTGAACTGTGCCTGGTCATCAGTTTCAAATATAGGCCACCAAAGGATCGTACAGTGGTTCCAGTTGTCACAGTCAGCCTCACAGAAAAAGAACGATCTGGGAGATAAAGGTCGCATGTTGGAGGGGAGGGACAGAAGCTCAAAGTATTTTGCAACGGCCGCATTGATGATAATGAATTGGTTGATAGCGTGTTTTACTGTAGGCTCGGGAGGTGATCAGTTGTACATTCAAGTCGATCGCTCGGCTAAGTGAATAGCAATCAACATGCGGTCCAGTCGCCTGTTAGTGTTTCTAACCGGCGACCCCAGCTAGAGAAACAGCAACAACCAAGGTGACTGAGTTCATTGGCTACGGATTTGACGTCTAGCTGCTACGTATGAAACTTACGTGGAAGCAACCACTTCGACCAGGTTCGGCAGTAATTACGAGGTGCCGTATATCATGTATTCCATGGACTTTAAGGGCACCACTAGACAGGGACTATTCAACCAATGACTTCTTTAATAAGCAACGTGTGTGAATGCTTTTTCATATGCACAATCCACGCATGACGTTTATCAAAACTTAATGCGAACTGCCGTCACCAAGAGACTGGACTTTACCGTGGTGCAGCGGTTTGTGTACCTCGATGAATCACTGAGCTATACTGGGGAGTATCCCCGCGACACTCACAGTCTCTCATACCAGGTTGGTAAACGGTTAGAGGTCTGACGAACACAGTCTCCTGGCCCTCGAGGTTGGGGGTTGGAACATGTGTGGTGTTCCGTAAAAATGGTAATGTACTCGTATTTCCAGCCCAACACTGCTGTCTCGTGGTTGGCTTTTGTGTCAAAGGCATTGGTTGAGGACCCTAATCGTCCTGCTGACTAGATGTAGGCGCCCTGGTAATATCTCAGCTCTCGTACAACGAAGACATTCACGGATAACAATAATCTCATGCCACACCGACCGTCACATGGTACCATCAACCGGGTCGCCTTACTTGCTGCATACAGCAAAGCGGGTAAGCGAAAACATGCTACTGCTGACGCCTCCCTTCTTACACTCACGTTTTCCGCCTTTCACCGTCCAACGCCCAAATCTGAATACTTTCTCTGTCGAACCCAGCTCTAGGACTGACTGTTTTGATCGCCTGCATCATACTTAGCTACAGCTTCCGTACGTCCGAGTTCAGTCACAACCCTAAACACTGAAGTCTGTTTTTAAACTCCGGAAGCCTGTCTACTTAGACACCTTCAATGTGCGCAGATTGACGCAAATAGGTCGACAAGTGGCTCTTGCTAGCACACCGGATTCCCTCTACATTGGTGTATGTTGTCTGTCAGAAACAAGGACGCAGGACGCAAGTACTGTGATCCAACTGACTGTCCCCTCGCTCTCTTCCAGGTTCCGGCTGCGCACCTCTGGTGATGCAGAGGTCGCTGCAGCTGAATATGCTGGGGTGGGTATTATAATGGTAGTTGCCTCTGTACGTTTGGCAACACCGGTCAGAGAACCTAGAGGAAGTGAGGTTCGTCGCACCTTGATTATTGTGTTTGCTTACGTCCCATCTGGCTGTATCTCTGAACCTGCCAAGGGCAGTTTCTATGACGCTCCAGGTGCCCTTCTACAGCAGGCTAAAAGCTCAGATATCGTTGTGGTTGCTGGTGATGTAAACGCCCAGGTAGTAAGACTAAGCGCTGCTGAGGCCCGATTGGGTGTTCGCCTTGGTTTGGACACGAGACGCACGGACAACGGAGATCGGTTACTTCAGATGTGTGCCAATCACAGAGTGTTCCTTTGCAGTACGGAACAGTGGAAATCGCTTGACAACGTTATGACCACCAACAAACAGGCGCCGAATCCAAATAGACCACATCACCGTCAGTTATCGGTGGCAAGGGTCGATCACCGCCTGCCACTTTTTCTGGAACATCAGCGTGGACTCCGACCATGCACTTGTACGCTGCTGATAATGAAAAAAATCGACAGTCATTCAGCTGTAACACCCTTTCGGTGCCTAGATGCCGTGCCACCCAAAGAGAGCACGAGGGCTGGGATACTGTTAGGATGCCCGAGCCTAGACAGGATTGTACGCTGCTGCGTCTCAGGTGTACGAAAAACGCGCACACCTCGCTTAGCCAGTGAGAAGCTAGTGTTCCCAGAAGTCAAACGAAAGTATCAGGAGCAGTTCGTCGAATGCCTGCCGGACAGTACGGTGTCGGATGTAAACGACCACTAGGAAAAAATATCCAAAGCGCTACTCAAAGCCGGAATGTCTGTTTGCGCTACAACCCAGCCAACCCCATCCAAGCATTGGATCTCTGATAGGACCGTGTCTTTGCTGGAGACCCGGAGACAGATTCCACCTGGCCGCCACCACAATTCCACACGGCGCATCATCCGACGCCAAGTGAAAATGAGTGTCCGCGCAGACCGAGAAGCTTGGTGGACTCGAAAGGTCGAAGAAACAGAAGATGCAAAGAATGGTGGAAACGTCCACAAGCTGTTTCACTTGATTCCTTCGATTGGCCCTCAGAAACGTCTTGTCAGCGAGAGAATTGGGGACCAAAACGGCTTCCTGATATGCAGCAAAGCAGAACGTTCGGATCGCTTGGCACAGTACTTCGAACAGCAATTCAGCTGGCCACCTGCTACCTCCAATCCAGAGTCCTGGCCTTCAATAGAAAGGTGAACCGTAAATATGGAACCGCCTTCAGTTTCGGAAGTGTCCGAGTGTATTTCTCTACACAAGCGTTATCGTGCTGCTGGTCCTGACGACCTTCCACCTGCTCTTTTAAAGGATGGTGGCGGACTTTTCAGCCAATTCTTGTATAGCCTATTTGTGACAAGGCTTCTGGCGTCACTGATTCTCCGTCTTACGGTAGCACGCGGAACCTTGGCTCGTAGGAATCAAACGGGATTTCGACCGAATAGAGGCTGCGTTGACCACATTTTCACACTCCGTCAGGTGTTAAAGCAACGCCACATGTACAGACGACCCACAACCTTGGTATTCCTTGACTTCAAGAGTGCGTTCGATTCTGTCGATCGGTCAGTGCCGTCAACTACGACTGCCAGACAGAAGAGTAAACTACGCAGATGATATTGCCATCATCTTTGAAGACCAAAGCGAAGCAAAAACACTGTGAAATAGACTGTCCACCATTATACCATCTTTTGGCATGCACCTCATACCTGCAAAGTGCAAAATTATGCTTCAGAATGTGCAGTCTTCGAACATATCCCTTAAAATTTAAAGATAATCACTCGAGATTGTGGAAAATTATGCATACCTCGGTGGTTGTATTAGCTCTGCATCATCATCATCATCACCATCATCAAAGACATCAACATCAGTGTTGGTACTGATGCTTCACTGCCGTACAACCTACAGTGAAGAGAAGAGAAGAGAAAAAGAGTGGCTGAGGGAGGGGACCTAGTGCTGGCCTATGTCAAGCATACTGAGGTGCCT